TTCCTTGAATTTAGGAACTTGCACTGTGCGATTGCGATTCCGATTCCGATTCTGGTCTGGTTCCGGTTCCCCTGAAAAATACAGGGTACCTGGAACTGCTCACCCCTAAATTTTTACCATCTAACTCTAAACTACCAAAAAGTTGTGGGTCCATGTAACAGGACCTTTTTTGCCCCCCAAATTCCATCATCACCTGTTTTATTGATTCATGCCAACCATGTCCAATATGATCCTGTGACCTCTGAGACACACACAACTTGCTCTGTCATATCAAAACAGAAAACATGTGATTATGTAAGAGACAAAATTACAGGCATGACACAGAACTGCATCCCATTGATAGCATCAGATTTAGATAAATGGATCTGCAAGGTATTGGGCAACCAAAGCAAAGATGGAAAAAGAAAAAGGTAGTTAGGCTTACCAGTAGCATTCCATGGAGATTTTGTATTGGCAGCCCCCTCGCAATGAGTAATACTGACATTCTTAATAATATTTTATTTATTGTAAATAAATAAATTTACAATAACACTATGCTTAAACAACAAAAATAAAATTCATGCTTTAATTAGATCCAAATGAATCTTCAATCTTTCATTCCCTCTCTTTACATTCTTTCTTGAGGCAATGAATTCATCAAACTCTAACAAATCACACAACCCTTCGCTCATTAAATTTCACAAAAACTAACCAAACCCACATCAAATTTTCAACAATATCACCCATCTCAAAGATCAAAACCTAAAATTTCACAAAAACTATCCAAACCCACATCAAATTTCCAACAATATCACCCATCTCAAAGATCAAAACCTAAAATTTCACATAACACTCAAATTCTAGATCACCAACCCCAATTAAAGAGATCTACCATACCCACCAAAACCAAAACCAATCCCAAAATCCAAACAAAACCCGCAACTAATAAAAAAACCAATAAAACAAAATCTGCAGCTAATCCCCAAATGGGCAATAAAGCAAAAATATTATAATGTAAAGAAAATGAGTTATATGAATATTTTTACGCATTTGAAGTCTTTACAATTAATGGCCTGGAATCACTAATTTGAAAGCCATTTAAAAACTCATAAACCATAGATCAAATATGACTGAACCAACTTAACTATATGATAGACATAAAACAGGTAAATATAGGTATCTAGGACGTACTCTTCAATACTACAGATCCAAAACCAATGGCAACTCCGCTCGTAATCAATGGATGAGAAGCTGCGACATCAATACCCTCTACAACAAAAATTTTAATACATAATCAATTTTTATTAAAAAAAATAAATAAATGGTGAAACTAAAACAAACAATCACCTAAGTAACAAGGCAGGTAATACAGACCTTTAACCTTGCCAAAGAGGATGCTCTCATAAACAACATACTTGGATTTAACATCTTGAAGAGAGTCCTACACTCAAGAATCAGATTAAAGCTACATTTAATCTCTTGAAAAATTCTAGATCACCAACCCCAACTAAAGAGGTCTACCATATCGCAAAAACCAATCCCCAAATCCAAACAAAACCCGCAACAACAAATAAAAAACCAATAAAACAAAACACCCAGAAACCACTTCCAAGTTCTGCAGCTTAAATAATCCCTATACATATAACGCAAAGTTGTATTTTGATACCTGAACACAGATATAAATTTCAATTTCTAAAAAAAAAAAAAAAAAAAAAATCCCAAAACTCAAATACATGTATTATATGATTATAACAAAAAAGAACAAATACTATTCAATGAACCAAAAACAAAAACTTCTGAGCTAAATCTCAAAAACACAACCCAGATCATAAATCTTCATATCTTTAATTCAAGTGCATTAAGGAAAAAAAAAAAAAAGACTGTCAAACCACATATAATAAAGAAAAGGGCATGTCCGCAAACATACCAAGATAAGGGAGATCTCGAGATTGGGGAGGAGACCAAGGGTAACACTATGTAATGGCATCAAAGACAGAGCCCCACCCAGCTCCACTGGAAACCTGAATGAAAAACCCATGCAACAATCCGTATTCAAGCTTCAAGACTAATTTAACACAACTGAACATTAAAATTTAACAAAATCGTAATAAAATAAATTTAAAAAAAAAAAAAAACCATAAAATACTGATAAAAAGTAACCTGGAGTAGGTGCGCTTGTGAAGAGATGACAAGCGAGAAGCAGAGGTCGGCTTAATGTGAGAAGCTAGTCCGGTAAATTTACTCGCCGTTGAAGTGGACGGGGAGCGGCTGAGAACGGTTTCGCTGAAGCAGAAGTCAGTTGTAGGGTTCTTCTCCCAGAATTGGCCGCCATGTTTCTTTACTTTCTTTCACAGAACCCTCAAAACAAATGGTTTCTGTTAATGGGTTGCCTCAACACGGGGCCCATTAATACACCTCCTTATTTATTGGGCTTCTGTAACGAATTTTGGGTATGGATGAACCCTATTTTTTTGGGATTCTTCTCATATAAACAGTCCAACAGAGTTGGATCTACTTGAAGCATAAACCGAATGCAAATCTTTTTTTTTTTTTTTTTTTTTAATAAAATTGTTCGTTTCCAGGCGAGACTCGTCCAATTAAGACACCGTTGACCGCAGCCGCTTGTGCTTCTGTGCGTGTAACACGAGCTTAATGTACGCGTTTTGAGAAATTTCATATCTCAACTCGCCCATCTCTCACTCACTGAGTTGAGTGTGAATACTGTGAGTGTTGCTGTAGAAATTAAACAAACAAATAAATACATAAAAATTAAACTATGAGATACATTAATTAATAAACAGAAAAAGAGAGAGATGGAGATGATTTATCAGACTGAATCAATGATGGCCGTACACTTCAACCTGAAATCGAAGCACGAAAACAACAAAACTAATACAAAAGAAAAAGTTAAGAGGAAAAAAATTAGAAAAACTCGGATCGAAGGATTAAAAAGTTAATGAAAAGGAAATTAAAAAAGTTGACCTGTCAATCGATCGTCTTGCCTGCGAAATCTTCCAAATGTTTTGCGGGGAGTGGAGATGGAGATGAAAGATTTTAGTTTAGTTTGTGAAAGCTTTGTATATATTCAGTATTCGGTGTTGGCTTAGGTGGAAGGTGAAGAGGATGGAAATGAAATAGAAACGTATGGAGATTAATTCGAAGGTGAAGGGTTCGACGGTTCCTAGAATGTGAAGAAAAACGGATAGTAGAATGTGTAGAATGTGAAGAGATTTAAATACATCTACCAACCATCAACCAATCACATCCAATATCACATATCTATCATCCAATAACACGTGGACACGTGGCGATCAAATAACAATTATATAGATATTAAGCCAACATCCTACGTATCACTAAACCAAGGTCTGTTTCAAGATCCTACCGTTCGTCCGTTCCTACGTGGTGAGTAACGACTAATGCTATCTTTAAACAATTTTTTACCCTATTTTTATTACATGATCATTTTACTAATAATAATTATATTATAATATTAAAAATTTAAAATTTAAAATAATTAAAAATTTATGTGAATGTAGCATATACCATATTATGATGTAATAAAAATGGTATAAATAATAGTGTAAAAATAACATTATTGAGTAATATCATGTTGGAATGTAATCAATAGCAATGATGGACTACACAATTATATAGATATAATAGATAGATGTGAGTAGAGATATGATTTTTTAGGAAAATGCACCTTCGATTGAAAAATAAATAGATTCCGAGCTGGTGCAAAGGATATTTATATTAACTACTATTGCATGTCATTTCAAATGCATATTAGCAAATGTACTAATAGTAAAAAGTAATAAAGTGATAACTAGAATATTGTTTCCACAATAATAATGTTACTAAGTATCGACTTCTCTAGTTTAAATCCTAACTCAAGTAACAATAAGTTGGATTGATGGAATACTAACAACTAAATACAAATTAACAACTATACCTGGCAAACGGGCGGGCTGGGCGAGTATGGGTTGGGTAGGCACAGGGCACGGGTGAAACGAGCACAGGTCCATGGGTCGATTTTTTCTACGCGTAGATATATGCATGATCCGTACCCGCCCATGCAAGTATGGGTCAACCCAGGGGTCACCCGCATATAATGGCATTTTCTGTATTTTTTCTTTTTTTTTTTTTTTGCAGGTTTTTGTTATTTTTTTCACAGTTTTTTGTTATTCAAATTGCATATTTGAAGACGTAAATTGTATTGATTTAAAAATTTGGTATAAAATTCCTTTATTAAGCTTTCATAACTTGGTTAATTTGATTAAATAAATGGATGATTAAATTAAATTTGGTTAGATTTCACCAAACATCATTAATTTATTATTAATATTTTTCATATTTATATCAAACTTCACCATATAGAATTACTAAATACTAAACACTAAACCCGCGTGTTTTTCATATTTTATTAGATTTCACCAAACATAAAATGCAAAAATCGTCCTAAAAAGTAATGTGGGACGACAGACCAAATCGTCCCCAAAGCCGCGTCGCTAAAGGGTAATGCCAACAGAAAAACAGTTCGTCCCCAAAGTCATGCCATTGGGGACGAAATACGGTTTTGTCCTTAAAAATTATTTATTTTGTGACGAAATTTTTTACCCACAAAAAAATAATTATTTGTCTCAAATGAGATTGTTTCGTCCCCAAAAAAAGCACAATTAGGGACGAAAAAATTTTGTCCCTAACTGGATCAATCATTCGAGACAAAAGTTTTTGTTCTTAATTATGTGGTGAATAGGGAACAAAAACTTTCGTCCCCAATGTTGTGAATTAGGAATGAAAAATTTCGTCCCTCATGGTGTGGTGAATTGGTGACGAAGAATTTCATCCCTCATGGTGTGGTGAATTGGGGACAAAAAATTTTGTCCTTGATTGGGTTGATAATATGATGATTAACCGTAATCCCAATTTATGAATCAACCCTACTAATTTTCCTTCATGATAATACCCAGATTCATTTTCACTTCACTATATAAACAAACAAAACAACAAAAGCTGAGTTTTCCAAATCAAATTACACTTCTTTATTAACAAAAACTGTCAGACATTACAATTCCTACTTACCCACTACCACAGAATCTTCTAAGTAAGTTTCAGGATTCCAATCCCAAAAGAGTGAAACAAGAAACAAAATTGCAAACACCTTTGTTCTTTCCTATAGCCCAAAATCTTCAATGTTGTCATAGTTTCTTGTTTGCTTCCATCCCTACTACTTCGAGCTCAAGTTTATCCGCCCTAAATGCAATCTCTTTGTCTTCAACAACGTTTTATTTACAATCCAGATTTTCTTGATTAGCTTCAAAGAATGATTTACCAGTTATTCCTCATCAAGTTGTTGTCGTTGCGACGTTAGTTGCTCTACTAATCTATCCAATCATTCCTTCAACCACCCATATTGACTTTGACAAGCTTTTCTGGCTCCCGCCACACTCATCTGCACCAAAAAAGTGACATAATTATCAAAAAAAATTCTTTATAAGATATCTAACCAGAAACAGCTTTCTGAATGCCTTTGAAAAATAACATCATTCACAATAATTTTTCCTCCATTTTACCATCCGTTCAATTACCCACTGTTAACAGAGTGTTCTATATAAAATTTAACATGTATATTAGACACATTTATGTCAACGATGCCATTACTCAGACTGATCAACACAACCAAAACTCAGAAGAAGACAGAAGAAGAGTTTTGATTGTAAGGGCAATAATTAATTGCAGTAAAGCCTGCCAATTTCAAGAATATACAGCAACAGAAATCAAAATAAATAATGGTTATTACTGCTTCCAATATATTGTCAAGCACATGAACAAGAAAAGTTTCCCAGAAAGTTAAGAGGGATTGCATATTTGAGATCAATGCCCATAAACTGAGGATTCAGCTGTATTCCAACCACCTAAAGAATTATATACAAGGTAAAAATATCAGGAATTTAAATACAGACTGTTAAAAATGACCAAACAGACAGAAAGAAAGTATTTGACGGACACTAACTTTTCCCTTTTCAGTTACACAAATTTTTTTTTTTTCTTAAATTTATAAAGGGATCTTTGAAAATGATTAAATTATAAGGGCAGTAGTTGTCTCAGAAACCAGATAGGATATATGATTCAGAGAAACATTTATATGCTTTAGAATATATGTGTATTATGTTATTTATCCAATACTCGTCATGTAAAAGGTTTCCTATGACATGAAGCTTTAGGGAAGAACCCTGATTGTGTGACCTGAACCCAGTAACAAAGAGTACCCATGTCACCTGGCATAAAATAGAAAAGGCAAATGCAACAACTGATTAAGAAAGGAAAAGAAAGAAAATGTGATTTAGTAATAAATAAAAATTAGAGGGAATCAATTCTGGTAGACACCATAATATTAGCTCAACTACAATGGATGAATCTAATAAGTCAAGAAAGAATACTTTTCCCTCTTAGTAATCAATTATTCAACATGATTGCAAACAACAAGGGACATCATGGGTCTTGCCAAGGTTGAAATAGATAAAAGACAGTAAACAAAAGAAATGAAAATTTGATGGTCTATACTGAAGTCATTTTTTCCCATGTCTCTTCAGAGATCAATGAGATACTCATCATCTTTTACGTACCAGCAGAACTTTCTCAATTAACTCATTTTAGCAAAGCACTAATTAATCTTCATATGATAAAAATAGAGTTTAAAACATTTACAATCTACACAGTTGAGGTTGTGGCTCTACGGAGACACATCAAATTTATAATTAAATGATTTGAGTCAGAATGCAAATTCAACCTTCAACAATGTCAATAAAATATAATGCTGTAAGTTATGATAAGTTAACTTGAAGAAAGATGCTGACACATAGGAGCATGCATGTACTCAAGAATAATGTTTACCAATTAAATGAATAAGTATATTTCATTCAACAATCACATACCAAACTTTCCAGGCACCAAAGAAGAAACTACATCACTTACAAGAAAACAAAACATTAAAGTTTCTGATAGCAGCTCAAGTTCACATAAATGTCAAATAACACACTAAACCTAATTTAATTAGAAAAAAGACAAAAATACGCACCATCAAAAGTCAAGTCGAATGAGGGTTGTCCAAACATTTCATATATACTTACAATTTGAACCTATAATCTTAAGTTTATCACTTTGAAACTTTATCATTTCATGCGACAATGCCTACTCTGAGTTTCAAAATTCTCATGACACAGCATACAACATTTAAAAATCTGTATTTCAAGCCACATATACTACCTAAATGTTTATTCAACATCATACTATCCTATTTACAAATTATAACATAATAAAAGTCACAAAGCCCCAAGTAATTTTAGGAATCGAAGATGATTATATAATTATAAGCTAGTGGATAAACATGGAGTAGCGAGTACTTACAATAGGTGATATGAAATCCATCTGGGTACCAATTCCAAGTAGCGCAACCAACACTACAAGCACACAAAATAGTTAACCCATTTGAAACATTAAAAAATACAAAATATAACACATCAAAATGCTAAAGAACTTGAGCAAATGACTAAGCAAACAGCTAATTAAAACAAAACATTGCATCGATAATGAAGTCGAGTGCAAAGGGTCGATGGTGGAGTCGGAAGAAGTGGAAAGGTCGGAGAGGTCGGTTTGGTTGGATTGAGTGCAGAGAGATACGAGGCGCGACGATGGGCTGAGGGGAAGGAGGTGACTCTTGTGGCGGGGGTGGAGATGGATTTGATTAGAGAGAGAGAGGGATCTAGCCATCGGTTTTGGAGGAAATTTGAGTGAAGATTGAAAAAATCTTAATTGAGAGAAGAAGATTTGAAGAAGATGACATTTTGGGTTAATGGATATTAGGTTTCTGGGGACGAAAATTTGGGGTTAATGGGTATCAGGTTTTTGGGGACGAAAATTTTGGGAAATTTTGGGTGGGCGCAAATGGGTGCTTGTTTCCCGGTTAACAATCAGGTATATGGTAACATTTCTAAAGTGTTATGTATTTTAATTATACTGCAAAGCAGCTCACTCTCTCTATTTTTTTTTTTTTTTTTTTTTTATTACCTTAGGTTTTTCATTATTTATTATATATATAATAGAAAACCCTATCCCATTTGACTTTACCAGAATCTAACCCAATCCAAGCCTAATTAGTAAATTAATAATAAATCCAATTACTAATTGAATTTACCATGAAGGAGACGCTACCCCCTCACCACCCGCTCGCTCACCGGCAAACGGGACCACCGCCCACTCACCGAGGAGCAAGACCCTCGAATGCGTCTGCATAGGGGACTTCAAGCTTGTGCAAAATATAAACCATATCCAACAATTGATAGATAATGAGTTATAAAAATATGAAGTTTTACTTATCAAAATTATATTCATAACATTTTCACCAAAATGCTACCATAGATACATATTAGTAACATATTTTCAAAAAGTGCTACTATCCAGTATTACTATAAGTCAATTTTTTTGTAATGAGTGAAGCAAAGAGCAAATGAAGAGAAAGGGCAAAGCGACGGCTCGCTAGAGCATGTCATGATCCTCAAAGGTACCTGCCACACCTTCCTACCATTTTCAACGGGTCCTCATTCGCCACCTGCACTTAATTTTAAATTTTTCATCTTGGGTTTCAATCAATTTCAGAGCAAGAGTTCGAGATTCACTAGCAAGCAAGTATGGGTTTTGTTTCAAATGAAATAAAAAAGGAAGTGGGTGTTTTTACATTTACCTAGAACTAATAATATTTGCTTCCTAATTAGATTTCCAAATTTTATACAATTAGAGACAAAAAATTTTGTCCCAGATAAAACGGGTTTTTAACTGCAAAATTTTGCGTTAAAAAATAATAAATTTGTCCTAGATTGATTTCCCTCTATATTATTTCATCATTCCATCCAAATGGCATTGTTGGAGGGGATGAAACTGAATTCATCCCTGAATTAAACATTTGTTGTAGTTCAAAATTTCATCCCTAAAATTGTATTTTTCACAATTTAGGACAAAATTATATTTCGTCGCTAATAAGTTTTCCAAATTTTGTACAATTGGAGACAAAAATATTAGTCCTAGAAGAAAAAGGCTTTTAGCTACAAAATTTTTCGTCCAAACATAATACATTTCGTCCCTAAAAATGTATTTTTACAATCAAGAATAAAATCATATTTCATCCTTAATAAGTTTTCCAAATTTTGCACAATTAGAGACAAACAATTTCGTCCCAGAAAAAGAAGGTTTTTAGCTACAAAACTTTTCGTCCAAAAATAATAAATTTTGTCTTAGAATGATTGCTCTCCCTATTATTTCATCCTTCCCTCCCAATGGCATTGTTGGCGCGGGGCAAAAATTGAGTGCTAATCATTTTGTGATGAAATTACAATTTCATCCCCTAAAATGACCATTTTGGGACGAAATTAAATCCATCCCTAAATGTTAAATTTCTTGCAGTGTTAATTGTTATCAAAATGTATTTTTAATTTTTTTTTTTAAATTCAATTGTGGGTACCCACCGGTATTACCTAACCCACTCGCAAATTTCACGGGCGGGTCGAGTATGGGTAGTTCTGAAACGGGCATTTTGGAGGGATACCCGTACCCACCCATTAGGTGCGGGTACTCGTTAACCCGCGGGTATAGGCCCTCTTTTGCCAGGTCTATTAACAACTAATAAATGACAAAAATGAAATTAAAGACAAACCCAAAATTCAAACAAATCAAATAGCACTAAAAAACGCTAGGTTGTTGATTTCACCTAGATACGCTGTAGTAACTGCTTTATACTACTGTATTCACAAAACACATACAATAAAATAAAGGTACAATAATAAAAATAGTTGGGCCCAAAAGTTTTCTTTCATTTAATATACATAATATTTACATAAACTTAGTATCATTTACAAAAGTTCTCAAAAGTATGGTGGACAGTGTAACTACTCTCCCTCGCCTGCTGACGTCCATCCGACTGCGTATTCACCTGGAACCTACAAAAACATAGAAACAATGGGGTGAGTACAACTAATGCTCAGTAAGTAAATCCTCTACTTGTCTATCCCCGTAACACTTTCTCTTAATTCTTTCCTTACATTATTCTTTTCTCATTTCTGTTTTCTTTCTATTTCTATTTCTCGTATTCTTTACTATACACCCTCTGGTGTATGTCACGGCCTCATCTTACCGGAGGCACGGCCGGAAACTCAACCCATTTTTCGTGACTTTACTTTTTTTTCTCTTTCTATTCTTTCTATACCTTTGTTTCTTATTCTTACTCATTGGAATGTCACGGCCTCATCTGACCGGAGGCACGGCTGGGCGCTACCACTCGATGTGACTTCTGCTCATTTATCTACCGGTCGAATTTGGTCATGCATGGATTCGGAACCCTTGGCCATGTGAGTGTACATTCTTTCTCTATATCTCTTAAATGTCATGGCCCTTTCTTACCAAGGGCACGGCTGGAATCTCATGTTCCACTCTACGTGATGGTCACGGTCCCATCTGACTGGAGGCACGGCTAGAGATCACAAAGCACCCACTCTCGTGACTCTACTCATCACTCACGGGTTCCCCATTACACAACTTACTCTATTCCCTTCTTTAGCTCTTAGAGTAGCTTATGCACAAGGTCTCTACTCTTTCTCTAACTACTCATCATAATGCATATGGATGGTTCATGCTCATTAATGCACTTAGGAAATGCCAATATGCAATGTTGCAATAATTAAGGTTCATAACTCATTCTCATGCTTCTCTTAGGCATTTCGTCAAACAACTAATGTGCATATAAAACTCTTCTCTAACTACAACTCTATTTCTCTTTTTAACCATCCAAAGTTGGAAGTAAACTCCCTTTTATGGGCATAATCCCTACCATAGAAGAACACTCCCAAAATATGTACTCAATCTCATCTAACTTCATCACACATCTACACTCCTTATAAAGGAGAAGTACCCAACAAACTTAACATGAATACTTATCTTAATTTATTTTCTCAACAAGTAGACATATATCTCTACTCAATTTCTCAATAACATACATATAACATGCATACCTCATTTCTACTAAATCTCTACTCAAGAGAATTCTCAAATCTCAACTTGGGTTAGGATTTACTTACCTTGTAATGGATAACTCTCACTAGTATTTTCTTTTCCTTTGCTTGCTTGACTTTTCTCTACCCTTTAAACAATAAAACCATACAACTTTAATATACAAATATACACAAAACCTCACATCCAAAGCAAGAATCCTTACCTTAGGATGACTTAGCTTGATTTTCTACTCCAATCACTCCAAAAAGCCCTTTAAAAATCCTTGAACTAATGAGAAAGGAGTTGAGAGGAAGTAGGAAAGGAGAATGGCGGTGGAGAAGAAGATGAATGAATGGGTTTCTAAAGTTAAACCCTTATCATCTCATATTTTCTCCATTCTTTCCCATTTTACCCTTACTCTTTCTTAAGAATTCCACTTTTACCCTTTTAATTCTTTACAAATGCACCCCCAATTAAACTATTCTCCATGCAATTTCTTTGCATTTCACTCCGCACTTTTCCTACTAATTAGGGGTAGAATGGTCATTGTGCGCCAAAGGAAGAATTCTCTGGAAACTTCATTAAACTTTTTGTTAGGCTTGTCGCCGCGGCGAAGACTATTTCTTCGCCCCAGCGAAACTTCACAAACCCTACACCGTGGGTTGCAGGGCCTCATCGTCGCGGTGACGATTCTTCTTCGCCCCGGCGAAGACAGTAACCCCAAAATTCCACCAAGTCTATACAATTTCAGGGCAACCACTCAACCAAACCACAACATCCATTCAATCAAGGGCCAACCAAACCATATTAACAATATTCTAAGTCAAACAAGAGTAAAGTAAGAGACATTAGCTACGTACCTCGAGTGGGGCATTACAATTCTCTCCCCCTTAAAGAATTTCATCCCCAAAATTCACACAAACAACTCCGGATAACGATTCTGCATATCTTGTTCTACCTCCCATGTGGCCTCTTGTGATTTCTTCAAGGGATTTTCACTAACGGAATACTCTTGTGGCGAAGTTCTTTAATCCTCCGGTCTAAGATCTGAACTGGGCGCTCTTCATACACCAAATTCTCTTCTAAGGCAATGTCCTCTAAACTCAGAATATGGGAGGGATCATTTACATACTTCCGAAGCATTGAGACATGGAAAACATCATGCACCTTGTCCATACTAGGTGGTAGTGCCAATCTGTAGGCTACATTTCCCACTCGCTGCAAAACTTCAAATGGACCTATGAATCTCAATGCTAACTTCCCTTTGTTTCCGAAGTGCATTACTCGCTTATAGGGGGAAACTTTTAAAAATACTTTGTCACCCACTCTGAACTCAACATCTTTCCTTTTCAAATCAGCATAACTTTTCTGTCTATCTTGGGCTTGCTTCATTCTGTTTCTGATTAACTTTACATCCTCGATCATCTTCTGAGTTATTTCTAGCCCAAGAGCGGTACTCAACTCATCTTTTTCACCTATCTCATCCTAATGCAGTGGAGACCTATATCGTCTACCATATAAGGCCTCGTAAGGTGCCACCTTAATTGTAGACTGGTTACTGTTATTGTAGGCAAACTCCACTAAGAGTAACATCTCATGCTAGGATACTTTACAGTCCATACAGCAAGCTCTCAACATATCCTCAAGCACCTGATTCGTTCTCTCTATTTGCCCATCTGTTTTAGGATGATAAGTGGTGCTAAATGCTAAACGAGTACCCAAATTCTTCTGTAAACTCATCCAGAAAGCTGAGACAAACCTGGAGTCTCTGTCTGACACTATTGCCTTGGGCACTCCATACAACCTGACTATCTCTTTAATATAAATCTGAGCCAATTGATCTGTGGTAGTGCTTTCCTTTATTGGAAGAAAATGGGCTGATTTAGATAGTCTATCCACAATCACCCATATAGCATTATATCC